CGGCCGCCGCGGGCAGGGCAGCATCTCCCGGGGCGCGGCGGCTCGCGTGAGCGGCGGCGTGCGGAGGGCGGGGGGAGGCGGTGGCTCCCGCCTCAGCCTTCCCCAGCAGAGGGTGCCTGCCGGTGGGAAGGGGGAAGCCGCGCTCTCCTGGACTTTTGTGGGAGTGGGGGTTGTGTTGTGTGTGTGGGTTTTAAGGGGGGTGGGGTGGGTTAGGAGAGAGTCTGTGGTTTCCATGGAGATGAAGCTGAAAGTGCAGGAAATTTAAAGGCTTTGGGTCCTTGCAAAGCAGACAAACTGGTGCCAACGTGCGTGGCTGCTTGTTGCTGCTGAGGAGGCTGCTTTGCAAACGGCGGAGAGGAGCGGGGAGGAAGAATCGGCAGCTACTTCTTCCACACGCACGGGCAGACAACGAGAAGCGGCAGCAACAAGCAGAATTCGCAACAAAAAGAGGCATCTCCCGTTCCCGGGAAGGGCGAGAAGAAGCAGCAGCAGCAGAATTTTGGAGCGGCTCCACCAGGAGAAATTTTATAGAGAAGCCTGCAAGAGAGAGTGTTTGCAGGGGGCTTGTTCTCCGCGCTTATCAGGGGGCTGTCTTTGCTGGTGGTGCGGCGAGTGGAGATCGTGGTCCCTTTCAAAGACGAGCTATTTTGGATATCCCCGTACAAGTTTTCTGATGTATTTGCTTGCACCTTCTTCCCTTGCTGTTTGGTGAATCCAGCCCCCCCCCCTTCCCCCCCCAGGATGGATCATTCCCAGTGCCTTGTGACTATATACGCCTTGGTGGTTCTGCTGGGTCTCCGGCTACAGCAGGGCGCCTGCCAGCACTATCTGCACATCCGACCGGCTCCCAGCGACAACTTGCCCTTGGTGGATCTAATCGAGCACCCGGATCCTATATTTGACCCCAAGGAGAAGGATCTTAACGAGACCTTGCTAAGGAACCTCATGGGCGGACACTTCGACCCCAACTTTATGGCTGTTTCTTTGCCCGAGGACCGGCTCGGAGTGGACGATCTAGCTGAGCTGGATTTGCTGCTCAGGCAGAGACCCTCGGGAGCGATGCCCAGCGAAATCAAAGGGCTGGAGTTTTACGACGGGCTGCAGCCGGGCAAGAAGCACAGGCTGAGCAAGAAGCTGCGCAGGAAGCTGCAGATGTGGCTTTGGTCCCAGACCTTCTGCCCGGTCCTATACACGTGGAACGATCTCGGCAGCCGCTTTTGGCCCCGGTATGTCAAAGTGGGCAGCTGCTACAGTAAAAGGTCTTGTTCAGTCCCCGAAGGCATGGTTTGCAAACCTGCCAAGTCCGTGCATTTAACGATCCTGAGGTGGAGGTGCCAGCGCCGGGGCGGGCAGAGATGCACATGGATACCCATCCAGTACCCCATCATTTCGGAGTGTAAGTGCTCCTGCTAGGGCTGGCACTTCACTTCGCGCCCCTTCTCCAGCGGACTCACGTGGACCTTTGCTGCAACAGAAATAAAAGACATTTGCTTTCTGGTTAACGTTGTAATGCACTGTAACGTGTAGGAGAATGTATATTATGTGTATATATGGCACCGGTTTAATATACTATTAAAAGGTCAGTATTATACGTGAAATAATCAGCGTCTACTGTATTTTCAAGACTATTACCCTGATCGTTGCTAATGTATTCTTTTTTTTTTTTTTTTTATTGCTTCTTGCAGATCAGAGAGAAGTTGCTTCGCTTTGGCGAAGTAGGTTTTTTGTTGGGTGTTTTTTTTTTAATAAAAGGATTAAAAAATAAAAACCAAACTTTTTTTGATAAGAAAACTTTGATAATATTTTCCATTATTCGGAAAGCGTGTGTGTGCGAGTTGGTTTTTTTTTTTTCCTTACGGACTTCAGATTTAAAATAAAAATGAATAAACGCCTAGAGCACAATGTTATTGTAAATAGAGAGAACAGTTCGAATGACTTAATCCTATGTAAATGAAGAGTATCTGCTATTTATTCTTTATATCCTTGTAGTAAAAGTGCAGTGCAGAATTAAAGTCAACCACTAAAACATGAGCCGTTTGGATTCTGTTTGCTTTTTGGTTTGGCCGCCGTCGGGGGGGCTTTCTTCTCTCTCCTCCTCGTTCTCCACGCTCAGCAGGACGTTTCGTGGTGTCAGGGGGAGGTGGGAACCTGCTCACGACTCTGTTAGAGGAGCTCTGCGGCACCTACACGGCCGGAGTGCCGCGGGCTGGGGGCGGCCGGCGGGGGGGTCCCTCCTGTCCCTCCTGTGCCTCCTCTCCGCGCCGCGCTGTCCCCCGCGGCCGCGCAGCCCCGGCGAGCTCGGTGGCAGCTGCTCGGGGATTTTTCTTTTAACCGCTTGACATTTCATTTACAACGGGACACGTGTCTTTCACACCTACCATTGTGGTGGGACACTGCTGAAACTTGACCCCTGGGCTTTGGGGGGTTTCGGCGCAGACACGTTATTAGCCTGATCCTGTGACAGCCCCGCACACCGCCCGCACCGGCCCGGTTAACTCTTTGGGCTCCCGCCAGCGCCGGGCCATCGCCACCCTGACGGGCTGCCCGGGGCTGCGGGGCTCGGGGACTGCACCCCCTCCCTCGAGCCTCCTGTCTCCAGGCAGCCCGGGAGCAGCGTGCCCCGCGGCCGCGGAACAGCGAGCTCTGCCGCCCGCTGCCCGCTGCCCTCGGCGCGGCGGAACCGCCCGGCCCGGCCCGCGGGGCTCCGCGGACCCGCAGCTGTCCCGCGGCTCCGGCGGGACCCGGCCCAACTAGGGACGTGTTTGACTTTTACGGCTGGGAGAGCCGGCGGTTCGTATCTCGTAGATACCAACTGCGAAAACAAACTCTCCACGTGTTCTTCAAAGGCTCCCTGACAGTGCAGAAAGCCTTTTCCTTATTTATCTTGGAGCCAAAAAGCTCTTTTTTTTTTTTTTTAATTTCTCCTCGAAAACTCGGAGGGAATCTATGCTAATCATTTTAAACCCGTGGGTCTTTCATTGAGACGAGCCAGCCGTGCTTTCTCTAACGCTCGGTTCGGGATCTCCGAATGCATATTCATTCCCTCAGTCTCTCGGTGCGTTTTACCGCCCGTCTCTTTGCTCTAATTTCAATAGTTTTGGGAGGGGGGAAGAAAATCAGATCTTGGGACATTTAGGGTATTCATTAACCTAGTGAAGAGGAACAGAGGCATTATTACTCACATAGAAGGCACCCTGCCCCCATGTCTATCTAAGGGTTCATTGTAAAAGGATTAAAAGTTAAAGACCTTCATCTTATGATTCTTTCATTTAATCTTCGTGGCGCCTGAAAGACATGCTGGATGGATGATCACATTTAAAATATTCCTAATGTCGGCTACCTTAGGACTCCAGGCAGGGCAAACAAACGTAATTTATTTCCAGAAGAAAGGGTATATTGAGATGTTTAAGTTTATGAACCACCATTACCATGTATATTTGTTAGGTTCTGACAAATACCCAAATAACATTAAAATCAGCCATTCATCACATATGAATTTATGCAAAACCTTGTATGCCTGGGGCCAATATTTTTTTAGACAGAGTTTCACTTGCAAAAAAAAAAAAAAAGTTTATTTAAAAAAAAAAGCAAGAGTTTTTCATGACTGGTAAACATGAGAATTATGTGAACAGAAACTATTTCATGCTGGGATGGCAGCCAGGGACTCGGGAATGTCAACAAAAGTTCTCCGAAGGTTGAAAATGTCACTGGATTACAATACAAGGTCCTTTGCCCCATTAGCAAACTTTGCTAAAGTAATATTCCCACTACTTAGCGAGGGGGCTCACCCAGTGATTTATCTGTCTGTGATCCCAGCAATGGGGCAAACAGGGACTTCATCTGGAAACCACCTCTGACTGCTGCCTTCAAGATTTAAAAATTTTTATGCGTGCAGAGCTGAGTGTGTATCGGTGACTGTTATGTGAGTGTAAAAGAAGTATGCTGTTAATGTAGTCTAAATATTTATCACCATATCTGTCTTAATATTAATCCGAGGGTCATTGTCATCAGAGAGTTGTGTATGTACATGCTTTCTCAACCAATAACACCCCGTTAAAAAATTTATGAGAATATTTTGGGTTTTTAAAAAATCAAGTTTCACCATCCATTTTGTCAGCTGGTAGATCAAAAGTAAACTAGTAGTCTTCACTGTTGTTTCTGGTCAGGTCCACTTTCTGGTCCTCCTGCCCTAGTGTTGAAATGTTTGGCTTGTAGTGGAAGAGTTTCAAGCCAAACAAATAAAATATCTTTCTGATGAATGTTTCTATGCAAATTTATTTAATATTAGATTTTGTAATATGTTTTTATAGCAAAATTGAATTATAGCTCTTTTAAATAGAAATCAATTCATAACACAGCCAGTTTTTCTTTGCTGATCTTTGTAGTGGCATCAAAAGACTGCACAAAGACCACTGTAGGGAAGAATTAAGGGAAAAGTTTAAAGTTTGCTTTCAGATACTCTGCAGTTTCTTATTTTGCAATTTTAGTGTCTTAAAGCATAATAGCGGAAATGCCAATTCATTTCTGTGTCTGCTGTAGGCTCAGCTGAGTCTTTTAACCTGTGTGCTGCAGTTCCTTGTGAGGAGCACAGGACTTTGTCTTCTTTGCCAGTGTAGTCAGTCGTTGTCAGAATAATCTGTTCTCTCACACCACGTGTTTATTCAAAATCTAATGAAGCTGAGGCCTGGTGTTCAAGAGAGGTTCCTCTATGACATTGCATTTAGCATCCAAGCCATTGTTTTTGTCAGTGCAGAGCAGTATTCTGTGTATCATTCTCCAATGCTTTATACTTCTGATTATCAGGGGAAAACATGTGGCTTTTAATCAAAGTTGTGATGATGGCTACTTTGAAAGTGCTAAGAGGAACACAGGCAATAAAAGCGCAAAAAAGTCAACCAGAGTAACTTGTCCAAATTAACTAATTCAAAATTAGTTCAGATAGTGTGAAGAAAATAAACCAGTTGGGAAACATTACACATTAAAGTGTTGTCTCCTCACATACATACTTAATTGAAAAATCTGTTTGATTTCTTTTACAATTTTCAAAATACCACCACAAAGATGAGTTCTTGAGATTGCATGAGGGCACTGTGGAGTCATCACCAAAATAACCACAGGTAGAAATTACAGCGGTAGTATTTGGGTAAATACTGACAAGGTTTTCTTCTTCCATAGTTTTATTAGAGAAATAATCTTAATTTAGTTACATCAACACCTGGAAAAAAATTCCCAGCAGTTCAATTTACTGGGCTGTGTAATATAAATGTAATCTGCACCACATTGGCTGGATCTTGGACACATTAAAGAGAAGATATTCCAGCTTGGAGATTCGCCAGGAATCTTCATTGAAAGCTGAAATAAATATAATGACGTCATCATATAATGTAACATCATAGCTTTCAAGGTGAGCCAAACCAAAGGTATGCTGGCAGGGGAGTGTTACCACCTGGTAGATCCATGCTAGGAATAGATATGATACTCTCATCCAGCAGGGAGGAGAACAGCCACGCTCTTCCTGGAGTGCCCACAAGGATCCTGCAGTCTCTCTGTGCCTGCAGGTCCAGTGGGAGCCTTGCTGCACGTGGGAGCTGCAGGATCTGTGTCAATGCTCTCTTTTAAGAGAGCAGCTCCAGCAAATTTGAAGAGACCTTTTCATTCCCTCTTCCCTGCTCCCAGACCAAGCAAGAAGCTCCAATGGTTAAAAGGAAGGGAATGAATACAGTCACTTGAAACAACTGTTGGAATGGTTCAGACGGGAACAGAAATATTCAGCAATCAACATTAAAGACTCTAAATCCTTGAGGTGTTATTGCAGGATCAGCAGCTTACAGCCCTCTTCATGAAGCCTGGGTACCAGTGTATTACTGCTAAGTCCCCTGCAGCCTGTTCCCTGGGGGGAAAGCAGCTGCCCTGTGTGATGTGCTTTTGAAGAGTCTGGGAGAAAAGCTACTGCAGAGAAATCTTCACGGGTGTAACATCACAGTGAGTCCTTTTTCCCTGCTGAACTGTGGGACAGCAGTGCAGAGATGTCACAATTTAACTTCTCACTCTGTTGGGTGGATGTCTTAATGGAAACCAGCTGAGAGCTGATGCCATGGGAGCTCACTGTTGTAGTTCTGCCCTCTCCAGGGGTATATTCATGTGCCTTCAAGCATCCTTCTGAGTCAGCACTCAACGGCAGACCAGCCTGTGCATGCACTGAGGTCCTGTCAGCCTGTAGATGTCCTGGAAAGCTTTGGAGCCATCCCTGTGGGGGCCTCTGGCTGTGTGTGGATGCTCCCATCCCAGAGCCCAGCTGAAGGCAGAGGCACTGACTGAAGGCACATAGATCCTGGCACTGACTGGTCTGGAGTCTGCTCTTCGCCCAGGACAGACATCACCCAGCACTCAGGTCTCTCCCCTGGAGAATCCCAGAGTAGTCACTGCATCAGATAATCATAACAGAGTTTGAAAATAGGTTTCACACTCCCTCCTCGTTGTTTTCTTTCCCTCATGAGAGGGGGAGTGGCAAGGCTCCCATCACAAAGAACGTTACTCAGAACCAGAACAGATCTTAAGGCACAACACTAAAAACCTGTATGCAATGGAGAAGGACTGGGTGGCTCGAGGGATTGGTAATGGTATAAAGAGCTTTTCA